CCCCAGGGAGTGCTTCCCCGCGATGTGTATTGGGCAAGGCGTTGCTTCATTAACTTGTCGGGTTAATGCTTTGTTTATGAGGTCATAAGTACCAAGGCTCAAATGAGTATTATTATACATGAAACCCACTGTGGCTTGACTGGGATTTCAACCGAGGACCTCAGAATGTTCCTGACTCAGCGCTCCATACCCAGTGGCGAGATGTGTGGTCAGCCTGTGATGTCCACTCAGTAAACACGGGGGGGGGGGGGGGGCGCTTCCCCGTGCCTCACAGACGTGAACGGTGTGTCTAGAGCACCGCGCGCACCGAGCGGGAAGTGATGAGTCGTGTGACCGTGACTGCCGCGTGAAGTGCGATCTACCACTGCCACTGTTTTATACAGTAGGGGATTCTGCGTGAGATGGGTCTGTTGGAGTCAATGTGTCTGTCTGTATGTGAGCCTGAGTCTGGGTATGAGTGCGTGTGAGTGTGTGTCTGTACGTTGGACTTTGGGTCTCTGTGAGTCCCTGTGGGTCTCTGTGAGTCCCTGTGAGTCTCTGTGAGTCCATGTGAGTCAATGTGAGTCTCTGTGCGTCTCCATACATTTGTGGAATTGCGGAGTCACCTGGCTGGGTGAAGGTGCTGTTCGTTACATCGCCGATCAGTGCCCACACGCGCTTTGGCACGCGGTACAAATGCAATATCCACGTGGTTTCCCCGTTTGCCATGGAAGGGCTTTCCCAATTAAAACTTTTTTTTAAATTCCATACGAAAGAAAGAAAAAATCCAACACGGGAATCAGTGATGTCGCTCAGCCACCAATAATCCTCGTTAATTAATACAAATTGTACCCCACGGGGGTGGCCCTTTGTCTGTTCAACAAACGCAAATTGAGGTGACAGACAAATCAAGGTCAGGTGTGGTGGTGGGGGGTGTCCTGCGGATCTCGATGAGACTGGCTGCTGCTGCTGGTGACTCAGCGGGTGGCGTGGCAGTGATGCAGGGCAGGGCCCGGGGCAGTGTGGGGGGGAGGGGCTGCGGTGAGTCACCCGAGTGGGCGGGGGGAGCAGCGAGCACGCCGCGGCTGCTCACCTGGCCCAGGTGCGCGCCTCTGCGTGCAGCTCCCACGACGTGTTCCCCAGTGCCCCGCTGCTGCTGCTCGCAGCCGCCACGGAGATTGGTCTCAGCCTTGTTTGGGGGTTCGTGTCGCAGCGGCGGCTACCACACCGCGTGGCCGGGACGTCGTCGTGGTGAGCGAGGTGAGCGAGGGTGTTCGGGTTGTACAGTGTTTGTCAGCTGTTGTAGTGACATTGTTGGACATTCATTTCTCCGTGTCTCTCCGTGTCCCTGTCTGTTGTGTCCGTCTGTGGTATCACGTCTCACGCCTCTAACATGATGTCTCTCATGTCCACCGCTCACTTTTAAAGTGTAAATATCCATCTAGCGCTCCTTAATGTCCGTGTCATATCGGTCTCGGTGGAACTCGCCTTCCTTTACCGGAGCCTCATCCCATCTCGTCTCTCTGTTTTCTCTATCTCTGTAAGCGCTTGAAACGGTTTCAAAGCTTCTTGATTATCCTGTTGAGCGAGCGTTACGGGCTGGTTGTAAATGTGATTTGCATGCGAGAGTGGGGTTGGTTTAAAAACCACAAGAATATTTAACTTGGTCGAGTGTGTAACATATGCGATCAATACTTTTTGGTTCTTTCGGTCTGAACTCACCTCCTTACGTAGGTAAAAAATAATAGATCACGAAAAAACTGCTGTACTTCAGCAGTTTTTTCTTGCTGTGGTTGTCCCACCTGATGACGATTGCTTGTGTTGCGATCGAAACGTCGTGATCTATTATTTGTCTACCTACGTGACTTTACCGAAAAAACCAAAGAGTATGGGATTCCTGCAGTCACGAAAGCTTCAAATCAGATATGCGATCAAATTAAGTTAAGAAAGCATTGTTGGCGTTCTGGCTGCATGCTGCATTTCCCTGACTCTGTCCTCAAGTTTCCCTCCCTTGCACCCAGTCTCACAGTCAGCACTCTATCTGCTGATCACTGGTGGTTAAAGAATTATTTTGTAGGCTGCCTCTGTCTCCTTCCCCTCCATTCCGCCTCTTGTCTCTCCGCCTTGCAAACGCTTCTTCTTAGAGAACGAGGGGAATTGCACAACTAAAAGAGAGGAGGTGTTTGACTGTGGTGAACGAAACGCACGAATACTAAAAAAGCAGTGCAAATTTAATGGCAGCAAGAGAGAGGCACCAGACAGGTTAGGTCCAGGTACAAGTCAGATCGGAGTTTTTGTGCCCAGTCAGGAACAAATGTCGAGGAGTGAAGGGAGGAGGGGACCAGGGGTGATGGGGAGCGACTCGTCGCTGGCATCAGACGACATCTCGGCAGGCAGCAGCGGTCCCATGTTAACACTCTGTATGCAACGTGCCATCAGATCACCCGGTGTGCACCTGCTTCATTACCTTTCGGATTACTTGCATTACAAACAATTACTTAAAACTAATTATGTAAAGGTTGTTAATTATCGTACGGACAGCAAGCAAGGACGACCGTAGCAGCCAGTGCACCCGGATGAGGCCACTGGAGAGCCTGCAAGCATGACGCACAGTGCCAGCATTGACCGATATCGTGGAGTCAACTCGTATATTCACACAACCCTTTGTCAATCCACTGCTGGATGAAGGCCTCCCCGGTCACGTGGGTTTGTGTGAGTACGCTCCACAGTGGTCAGTGCGGAGTTGTGAAGGTGGCGAGTGGGTGGAGTGGGGTTGTTCACCAGGACCACGTTCACTTATCACTTGCTACTGATGGTAGCCGTGCGGCTAAAAAATGTCCGCGCAAAGAAAACGATCACGAAGTTGTCCCGTGATCTGGTTACGTTTCTTTGAATCGGCCGGCCGTGGCGCGATGATGCCGGACGGTGGCCAACGTGAAACCTAGGGGTTTAAACTCTGACTGAAGATATTCCGGAAGATGGATTTGTATTCATTGATGTCCCGTCTTGAAAATATCCTATTATTAAAATCTCCCGGTTCGCTTTATATCACCACCGGGAGATCGATGTCAATTCCGGTAGAGACTCTTGGATCAATCCGGGAATAACCCGAGACAATCCGGTACAAGGGTTGGCAATACCCCGCTGCTGGCGATTGTACAGTGGCTGCCTGTGCAGCGGATTTGACAATGAGTGTTGGGCTGGGCTGTTCCGTGTTACAGTAAAACCTGCCCTCTGCACAGAACGAGGGCTATTGCCGGATCAGCTGTTGTTGTGCAACCGCGGCGGCGTGTGAATGGAGGCTGTTAAAGAGAAACCCGTTCGTACACCAGAGTCTATGAAACGACACGTGTGCGTCGTCGTACTCGTGCAAAGTGTACAACTCAAGAGTGACTGCTGCTTGTGAGTGATTGGGTGTTCAGAGTACTGTGGCCAGTACGCGTGTGCTGTGTGTACGGCAAACTTCTTTAGCACCGCGCGAGGAGCCACCAGGGCTGATGGGAGGTGCGGTGACGCGGTGCTCCCGTATTGGAGTCTGGTTTGGTGTAAGCCGGGTGAAGAGAGGGATAATGGTCTCATTGTGTGTGCGACTCCGAGGCTGGGTTGGTGAATTACACCGCAGCGATTGTGTATTGCGAGGGTGGCAGTAGAGCAAGTGGGTTTGGGAGCATGTTGGTTTATTTCAGGTGCTCCGGTTTCTTCCCGTAAGCAAAAAAAATTATAATTGAAAACGAATTGGTCAAACATCCCAGATAAGAAAGAGGTAGTGGACACTCAATAAAGTGCTTTGCTCTCTGACAATAACATCTGATAACCCAGCAGCAGCGTTTGTTTAAGAAGCCAGGATGTCAAAACCGGTCCTGAGTTGGCTTGCGTAAACAAATACTTGAAAGCCAGTTGGTCAATGGACTTAGATATTTAATATAATTTTGAGACTCACAGAGCCTTCTGCTTGTATCTGCTTGTGGCTCAGTGGTAGCCTCTTCTGGATAAATAAAGTAGAATTGCTTATTTACGGAGTAATTATGATACAATTCAATTAAGCTGCATAGATTTAAACAGTGGGAGTCCGGTGACAATCATCGTCCGTCGCAGTGTGCAAAGGCAGACGGAGTGCAGTCCTCACAGAGGCTTAGAGGCGGTTGTTGTCTTTTGATTTTGCTCTTAACTAACAGATGAGTAACTTTGAAGTTGAGGTTCCGGAGTCCTGCAACTGACCGGCAGTAACGCTGCTGCTGCTGCTGCTGGATCTCGTGTCGCCACTTTCTCAGTCGGGGAGTAAAGTCCACTGCGCCGGTGGCCACCAGCGGAACGCCCCACATAAATCCGAGTGCCCCCATTGGCGCTGTGGCCTACTTAATGGGTTTAAGGTTGCAGGTTGATAATAATAATAATTGGTGTCATGTGATGTCTTTCCCTCTCTTCTCCTTAATGTATCTGTGTATGCGAGTCTTTCAGTATCTTTGTCAGGTGCAGTGTTTTGTTGTCGCTGTGTGTCTGGTCTCTCTCGGCGCGTGACTTTGTGTACGCCGCGCGAGTGTGTGTGTCTGCGTTTCTGGGGGAAGCGGTGGCATACAAACGGGTCCTGGGCCCCTCTCAGCCACCTCGGCTTTACACGAGTGCCTGGTACGGTGTGTAAACATCGCCGCTGGAGAGACAAAGGCTGCTGGGCGTGGTGCTGGCACCAAGCTTCCTCGTGTACCATGCGGAGGAGGCTTTATAGGCGCTTGTGAACAGCCTCTGCCAGTTATATGGTGATGTTTGCTTTATCACTCGCCCTGTGGGTGTCTATCCAACTGTCTGTTTGAAATGCCCTTTTACCTGTCCACATTTTATATCTCTTTCTGTGTCAATCTCTCATCGTGTGTCTGTCAGTTGTACGTGTCTGTCTGTGTCGTTGTTTATCTGTCCGTGTGTCCTCCCTCTCTCACCGTTTTTCTCCGCCCTGTGCGTTTGTCCCTTCGTCTGCATTTCCCTGTTTCACGAATGTGTGCGTGCCTGTCTGTCTGTGTCTACCGCAGGTGTTCCCTTGGAAGGAGCTTGAGAATCTGTATTTCCGAGACAAGAAGTTTTTGATCGAAGTGCAAGATACAAGGAGGTGAGTTCGGAGCGCTCTCTTAACACCAAGTAGCAATAAGTGGGCCACGAAACCACCAACATCTAATGTGATACCTCAAACCAGGTGACCCCCTGCTGACAATGTCCTCTACGTGTCTTGGGGTAACGTACAGACAGAGATATTTTGTAGACGCAGGGCTCTTTAAGAGCGGTATAAACAGAGCAGAGCGAACGCAAGGAGGAGTCGTGTGCGTTTTAACTTCCACCAAGCAAACGCACATCAATGGGGGAGAGTGGTGGCGGGGTGGTTCGCGCGGTGCGCTACGAACACCGCGTCATGAGTGCACGGCTGACATCAGTGGCGAGTGATATCTGAACCACTTCGTGTTCCCCTGCTTCACAACCCGCGTTGACCAGCGTGGGGAAGTCTGGTCAGATAACCGCCAAGCAAAACCGACACTGTTTGTTTGGAGGCCTTCATCCAGCAGTGGATTGATCAAGGTGGTGTGTGATGAACATACAACAAAAATTCTAAAGGCGGGTTAAATCAAAGTGGCTCCAGGCTCAAATGGCCACAGGGCAGTGATCATCTCTCCACGAGCTCACGGTGGAATTTCGCCAGTCACATGTTGCAACTATTGTTGACTTCTCCAAGTTTGGTATTCATTTTATTCACCCCTTGAGGGAGGGGGCGTGATGATTTGGCTAGGATGTCAAATTTGTCATCTTCTGATTAAGAATCGTGAGCTCTAAACGCAATGTCGCTTGACTGGTTCCCACAAAGCAGCCAAATCGTAAACAAAGCAAACCTATAGTAGAAGACGATTAAAAGTAGAAATTTTGTTTTATGAAACCAGCTGACAGCGTATTGATGAGCCTCCTCAGGGATGTGGGGTAATATACAGGACAAGTTTTATAGTCCCAGTCATCTGAAGAGAATAAACCTGACACGGGACGGAACTTATTAAATGGAAAGGAACAAATGATGAAAATTACAGGTTTGCAGATCAGTCGGTTATTCAGAGTTAGGCCCATGGTGCTAATCCGTTCTCTTTTGATGGCGACTGGGGCAGACCGTCTGGGTGCGTCACGCGGGAAGGGAAGGTTTGGAGGGGCTGCATACAACAACAGCAGGGACATTTTATAAACATGGATAGCAGTAAATATATATTTTTACTAATAAACAACAAGAACTATGTACGATGGAAATCTGGATAGAAATGCAACCTAACGGGACGCATGAGAGAGGAGCGAGCGCTCATCACACGTGGCGTTTATAACGTAAAGGGTTACAGTAGCATTTGATGAGAAGGATGAGATTACAGATTAAACAAAACACATATTATTGTCATCTGAAAGCAATCGTGAAGGGGAGGTGACTCGTCACCTGCCTCATTAACATCTTCTGAGCAAATGACATTCGCGAGAGGTATTATGTCGTGTTGAAAAGCGTCGCATCGCAGCTCGCATAGCCGGAGTTGACCTCTTTGGCCAAAAGACACTCAACCGAAAGGGCACCATAACTTGTAAATAAAGATTAATTGGCTGATGGTAATTACCATCTTAATGCCAGACATAAAGCAATGATGTTTATATTGAGGTCATAAGTGATGAATGGATTTAGCTTGGTCTATAAAGAAGCGTAATATAGGATGGAAAAAACGTGGTCTCGACTCTGTGTGGGTGACGGATGGACACGCTTTGCCCCACCACTGCACCTCGTGCTTTTTGCTTTTCTTGAACAAACGCGAGAATGATTCCTTGAGTTCGCGGAGCCTCCTCAGCGGAGCCTCCTCGCCAGACGCTTGCGCTATGCGTCCGGCCGTTGTGACGTTTCCGATGGCTGAGGCGACGCTCTTTGTGCCCCGAGACGTAACGGAATCCCGTGCGCTCAGTGTAATAAGCCGTGTCGACGTGAACCCTGCTCACTCGGCCGGCATTCCTCAGCAGCGCGGCGGGGCGTTATCACCCTTCTTCCTGTGGTCGCGAAGCTTCGCTCCATGGTAATGGACTTGTATGTACATGTACGTTGAACTTCTTTCGCACCGTACGTAGCCAGCCGTGTTAATCGTAGGTGTGGGAGAAGGACGACATTACTCAACACAAAAAGCAGTTTCAAAGAAAAATGAGTTGTCGATTTAGATTTAAAAGTGCGTAGCTCCAGCGACGGTTAACGAGATTTACGAAGATTTCACAAGCAAGTGGTGATCCTAGGGAAAAGCTGGCTCCTGCCATAGGAACGTGGCATTTTCATTATTAGCTTTCATTGGGGGTATGCGATGCTCCAGTGCTTGTCAGAGCATTGAGGTGCTCCGATTAGCTTCATAGCACGGAATAACGATAGTAACATCGTTACAATCACACTTTTGAGTTTAAATTAAATAAAACATTATCTGTTAAGGTGCCGTAATGTTCCGTAAGCAGAACATTTCAAATAGGCGAAACAAACTCTAGACCTTTTAAAACAGATGGTTCACAGCGTACCGAGATTACATCCCGACTCTTCCGTGATGAGAGAAACAAAGTAGCCGCAGAGCCCCTTTTCAGCTGGCCCATTACTCTGTCAGCGACGGCTGCGCCGGGAGATGGAAGCGACGACCTCTGGACCGCAAGTCCGGCGCTCCGACCGTCACGGCACGGCGGCAGCGCGCGCCCACCCTTAGCAACGCACGCACGCCGTAGCTAGCGAGGCAAATCGAGATCGGGTCGGCACCCACTTAGCGGGCCCGGTTTTACGGGCAAAAGTCATCCCCTCGACAAATAATGCCGATGTTGTGCCTCGCGGCGAGCGCAGCAAGGCGGCGGCGCGTTTGACAACGAGGTGAGCAGATAGACGGGGGGGGAGGGGGTGTCGCGTTCACAGAGATGGGCGATTGCGACTTGGCCCGGCCGCGCGCGAGGAGATTTTCCCACCGATAGCCGCGTGCCTCCAACCCGCGCGGCCCGCCGAGAAGCCCCCCTCCCGCGCGCGTAGCGGCGGAGGAGGTGGAGGGGCTCCGGGCGATATTTACAGAAACGCACGCTGCGAGACGGCGGCCGAGCTGCCGCGTCTGCGCTCCGCGCTGTCGAGGCGCGAGCGGTGTTGTGTCTTCCCGCCCCAAAACAAAATGCGCCGGCGGGGCAACATTCGCCCGCTCCCGGTGTCACGGCGAGGACAAACGCGCGCTGCCTTCTGGCGGCCGCTTGAGCCGAGCGTCGTGTAGGGCCCATCCGTTTCAAGGACACAATATCCATGCATGATGAATGCATATTTGTTTGCTTGTTGTACCACAAATGTGTGGTGAATGCAGACCTTGTATTAGATGCGTGTCTTTGGTGTTTAACCATCTTAACACCTCCTGTATTATTGCCAGAAAGGGTAAAAGCCTTTTCTTCTTTATAATCTTAATACCGGCAAAAAAGGTCCCGTAGAGAGGACAAATCCTGCTACGACAGCGGCTTGGTCGTGATGTTTGTGCTGAGCTGCTGTTGTGTGTTTTTTATCGTATTGGGCCTTTTGCCTTGAAGTCGAGCCAACGTTATCAGGGGAAACATCACATTCATTCATTCCCTCTTTGATTGCGGAGTTTCTACGGACAATTCCCAGTTAAATACACCTCGGACAGTTCTCAGCCGTAAAATAAATACTGACATTGACGCCCAGTCAGACGAAGCCTTTCACCCGATTAAAAAACAAAACGTCAAGTTAAGTTGTAGAATTTTACATTTAATGTTCCTTTGAAAAATATCTTGAACGTCTCCTGCGGTTAACAAGCGAGGTGCATTGCTCATCATTGGTGGCCCAGGGCCGGTGGTGGAAGTTCCTCATTCCTTGGGCAGGGCCAATCTATCCACGTTAAAAAGTTTATCGTAATAGACGATGACTATATAAAAATTCCAACCCCCTGTCTAGCCATCGGGCAGAATTTACAAAGTATTTTTAAATGTGTTTGAGAGTGATGGAACAATAATATTGACATACGGCTCACTACCTAGAACCCCATTGATTTGAGTCGTGTCAGCGCTCTCTCTGGCTTTGCTCACAATGAACCGTCTGACTCGCAGGGCGCTTGTTCCATCCATAATAAAAACCAATAAAACACTGCGACACATTGTGCATTGTATGCAACAAGTGTATGATCTGTATCAACATTCAAGCTATGGTGGGTTAGTCAGTTTGCTTAACATTCTGACTGATACTCTTTGGTTCTTTCGGTAAAGTCACGTAGGTAGAAAAATAAAATATATCATGTCATATGATATATTATTTTTTCTTTTATTTTTCTACCTACGTGACTTTACCGAAAGAACCAAAGATAATGGATTCCTACAGTCACGAAAGCTTCAAATCAAGATTCTGACTGTATGTAAAAAACAGAGCTCCCGTATAGCCGTATAGCCGTATAGCCGTATAGACCGCTGGGGCAAGGGAGGTCGTGTGGCTAGCACCACACCCTTCCCACCTTTGTCTCCCCAGCGCTTGATTTATTTACACCCGGCCCCAGTTGTTAGTCGACCTAGGCGAGGCCCGGGCCCAGTTCACAGACGGCGCGAGTGCGTGGCCGGGGATTTAGCCCAGATGACTACCTGCATCACCGGCACCCAACGACCATTGTGGAGAACAGCTAGATGGCGATGGTGATGGTGGGTTGATGCGCGTGCAGTGGAATCAGTCTTGCACGCAACCATTTCGTCCAGTTGTGTACACGGCGTGCAAACAATTGGACGTCAGCGCTCTTCGAGCCGAAGGAACGTTGCCATTGTGCGCGAGCAGATGAACCTGCTCATCCACCGCACGCCGGTTTCCGCGGTGAACCCCGTGAGCGCGTGAGGGTTTATGGGACACGGTGCGACCATGTGGGCGGCTGGAGATGCGTAGCCCAGCAGTCGTGCGAGTGTTGTTTGTGCATCATAGGTGCTCGCTAACAGCATTTGCCCAGACAGTCTGTTAAGGCTATATGGGGGATCTTTGTTTGTTTTTGTCTGGGGAGCGGTAGTGTAGCGGTTAGCATGCTGTGCTACGAACCCGGCAACCCCCCCGAGTTCGATTCCCGCTCACGGCCAACACCGGTGATGGTGATCTGAACCGGTCCTGGGCATCTTCTTGGTGGACTCGGCCTCAAATAAGGAGCTGATGCGGTGCATAAAGCATCGCCACTGGGGAGACGAAGGTGGCCAGGCGTGGTGATGGCCACCCACTCCATTGTGTGCCGTGCCGGCCTGCGTAGGTGCTATTCGCTAACAACACTTGCCCCAATAGCCTGTTAAAGGTTATACGGGGGATCTTTTTCTTTTGAATGTGCTTATGGGGGGACCTGTGGCACTGTGGTTACCGCACTGCGCTGTGAACCTGATGTTCTGAGTTTGAGTCCGGGCCACGGTTAACATCCATCAGCCTCTTTCAGCATTCTTCTATAGAACTCTTACTTTATGGTTTTCTACATTCAACAAAATAGCAACATTGCACAAATATGAGATGAAAATGAAAGAAGAGAGTTTTACCGAGCTTATTGCACAAATGCGTCTAAAACTTGGCAACAATGCTTTAAATGTTAACATGCATCTTGCATTCTGCCTTTGTGTGTCTGCTTGTTCTTACTTTTTTGCATCTGTTTAAATAGGTCATTTGCTTCAGGCATGCCACATTCAAATCATCTTTAGCTTGTCATATCTATTGATATATAGACAATCCAAAATGTAATACGTACATACGGTTGAATGAGCCCACCATCCCTCTACTCTCGATAAACTAGGTACCGCTTTGTGTCCTGAGCCAGTGGTAGAAATTGGATATTCCCGTGACGAGGCCCAGTTTATCCAAAGACCTCCGATCGCCGTCGACTGTCCGCAAGCGGCACCTATGGATTCTACTCGTCGACGGAGCGACGAGTTTCCGAGGTCGGTCTCGGGGCGGGGGTCCTCGCGACCGCGAGTCGACCGCTTTGCCCTGGACGCTGCCATGCCGTTGGCCGCCCTCGCCGGACCTCGGCGTGCGGCGGTGGCCGCCGTCGGCACGGGCCGCCCAACGGTGGCGGCGCCCCCGTGGTGCGGCGCAGGGATTGAGCCGCGTGTCGTGGGGCCCCGTGTCGCGCGCTCCGCAGGCAGTGCGTCGTGAGCCGTCGATCGTTTGGACCGGGCGGCGTCGGAGGCGGAGGGGGAGGAGGGGCGGGCGTGGTGGTGCACACGTGGTATGGATCGACGTCTCTGATCAAGTGCATCTGGGCCATGGCCATCAGCCAGCACCAATTCTACCTGGACAGGAAGCAGAGCATGGTGAGTCGGACGTGCGGGGCGCTACGGCACAACGCCGGTCCTCTTGTGGAATCCTAAGTCTTCTACGACGGTAAAGAGGTCGTCATGGCCTGGGACATTGATCTTCTCAGCTGGCCACATTGCTTGATTCTTTCTCGCACAGTTGACATCTCCCTTGAGGAGTCTCATCATCATCATCATCGTCGTTGCTGTATGGCTGTAGGTCACCACTGCTGTGGGTTAGCTGCTGTCCTAAACCTTGCATAGTGCAACCCCATTGTAACCTATTATTGTCCCCATTGTTTTCCTACAATTTTATGTTACGAATATCCAAGTTGCTTACCCCATACTGCCTCCTAAGGCTTGCGGCCTTGGGAGGAAAAATTTACACCAAGCGATGTTTACACACCGCGTCAGGTACTCATTTGAGGTTGAGTCGACCTAGGGGAGGCCCCGGACCAGTTCAGATAATTATCTGGTGACGAATATAAACCGGTGACGATTATGACTGTCACCCGTTTTGGCCGTGAGCGGAAATCGAATTCGGATCGCCAGGTTCGTAGTGCAGCGCGCTAATCGCTCCACCACCGCTCCGCACCAGGCCAAGATCGCTGCAGCTCGGAGCCTCGGGGAGATGATGTCCGACCTGGACGACGCCGGCTCGGTGCGTGCCGCTCGGCTCACCAGCGTCGGCAGCAAGAACCTGCTGAACAGCCGGCCCAGCTCCAGCAGCCTCTACTCCACAGGTCTCCCCCCTCGGCCCCTCACGCTCTCTCCCTCGCGCTCTCCCCCCTCGCGCTCTGTCCTTGCCCCTCACGCGCTCCCCTTCACGCGCTCCCCCTCACGCTCTCCCCCTCGCGCTCTCCCCCCTCACGCTCTGTCCTTGCCCCTCACGCGCTCCCCTTCAACTATTCCCTCGCCCTCTCCCCCCGCCGTTGCGACCGCAGACTCGGTGGACACGGAGGCGAACGATGCGGCGGCGCGCGAGATGCTGACGTCGCTGCGCAGCAAGCAGAGCGAGCTGCAGGAGCAGCTCCACGAGCAGCTGCAGGAGCTGCGCAAGATCTGCCTGCGCGAGGCCGTGAGTTCCACTGTCCCGGCTTCCGTCCCACGCCGCCACCGTCCTCCCCGCCAATCCTCCCTTCGTCAAGGCTCTACGTTTCCACGGTCACCCTCTGGCGTGTCAGGCCCGGGCTGAGCTGGAGCCGGGCTTCTTAAAAGTCACCGCCCCCCTCAATATGATTTGCCATTGATTGGAAAATCGCTTGCGATGGGACGGCTCGTCGATTCGCAAGGAGTAGCCCGGGGTTGCAATTGACACGCGCCGTGGTGAACGCGTCGTGACGTGCGGACAAATGTTTAAAATGTGTGACTTGAACGGCGCGCATTCACACACACCGAACATCGCACCCATTCAAGCACGCGCATACGCGCACACGCATACGCGCACACGCAGGGGTAAATCAACACGAACGCAGGTGAGCGGTACTCGCCAATCCAGTTCACACGGAGCGTGCCACCACCCGCCCGCAGGAGCTGACGGGGAAGCTGCCCGCGGAGTTCCCCCTGCAGGGCGGGGAGACGCTGCCACGCGTGCGGCGCCGCGTCGGAGCCACCTTCCGCCTCGACGAGACCAAGATCCGGCCCAAGGGCCTGGTGAGTGTGGGGGGAGCGGCGTGGGGGGGAGCGTGGGGGGAGCGTGGGGGGGAGCATGGGGGGAGCGGCGTGGGGGGGAGCGGCGTGGGGGGAGCGGCGTGGGGGGGAGCCGTGTGGGGGGAGCGACGTGGGGGGAGCGGCGTGGGGGGAGCAGCTCTCAGGTGAATGACTGGCTGATGGGTAATTATTACTGCGAGGGCAATCGAGGCGGCTGTGTGGTGAATGAAGAGCTATGGCTGTCAAATGCATGACTGCTACTTTCTGGTGAATGACTTTGGTTGACCTTGTGAACGACTGAAGCTGTCTGTGCGACGACCGCGGTTGTCCGTGCTGTGGCTACGGCCGACCGTGTAAGTGACCGCGACCGACCGTGTAAGTGACCGCGACCGACCGTGCGAACGACTGTGGGGTGGCAGGAGAGCGAGCTGGAGCGGCTGGAGACGGAGTTCTCCGTCCAGGAGGGGATCGTGCAGGCGGCGCTGAAGCTGGCCAAGGAGGAGGGGCTGCAGCGCGCCACGCGCAGGCGGCGCAAGGCCGACTACGCGGCGGCCGCCGTCAAGCTGCAGGCCCAGGAGGCGGCGATCAACGCGCTGCGCGAGCGGGCGGGGAGGAGGCCCACGCAGAGAGCCTCCGTCATCGTGCCAGGTGACCGCTCGCCCCGCCGCGCGACATCCACCGACTGTGCCTGCGAGGCGCTGGGAACGTGGGCGGGAATTGTGAGAATTCGGCACGGGGTTTTAAGTGCGGCACTTGCGAACTTCGCTCTGAAACGGCTGCCGTTGTTTCCTCGTGCCTCCTCGGTTGCAGATGACCTGATTCTGTCGGAAGAAAGCTCGATCTCGGACGGACTTCCAGCTGCCGACGGTCAGTATCCCAATGTTGCTACGTCCAGCGACGCGCCTTCCGCAGCGCCCGTGGCACCGCATTGCAGCCCTCCTGACCCTTAGTAAAGCATTAGAATTAATTATTTTTGCACCATTATCGCAGCCCACGGTGAGCATTCTCGTGAGCGATGTGTCTATACAGCCACAAGTTACAATATGCTGCATCTTTTTGCATTAGACTGCACAGCCAACAGGCCTCCCGTGATAATCTTGGTCTAGAAGAAAGCTTGGCTATGAGTCTACAATCTTGTAATTATTTACATTCCAAACTATTGTAGTTAAAAACAACGTTGTGAAGTTGCTCCTCTTCAGTTGTTTCCCCACGGAATACGGACACACGATGATGCACACTCCCTCTCCTGTAGGCACGGGAGCAGGGAGCAGGGAATAGAAACTTTGCTCATTTCAAACTCTAACTGAAGAATTGCTTTGATCACAGTTCTAACGGTTTCACGTTGTTGTCGGGAAGGAGCGAGCCACGGCGGTGAAATGTTAACTACCTCACTAGGTATACAGGAGGTCGTGGATTCGATCCCAAACCTGACGCCTGCTGTATATTTGGCGTTTGCGTGTCTCTCTCTCTCCCCGTGGTCGTGTGGATTTTTCTCCGGGTCCTCCGGTTTTCCCTCCACACTTAGAATCAACGTCACTGCTGTACATTTCCAGATGATAAGCCACTTCGTTGAGCTATCATTTGTGACCAGGTCGCTTTTGAAAAATAACTACATCGCTCAGTGGGCATTACCTGGTAAAATAAACAACAGTTTAGTTTTAGTAGTTTTAACCGTCCGCTGTGGCTCTTCCACAGACGACATTTCGGTGAAATCTGCAGTGCCCGCCGAGCGAGCGGTCACCCCGTCCCCGCTGGAGGATGGCCGCAAGGGGCAGCACGGCTCCCCTAATGGGATCCTGCACTACGCCTTCTCCACCCTGACGCTGCGCAGGAGCAAGGGCGCGCGGCCCAGCTCGACGCGCGCGCGCTCGCAGTCTCGGGCCAGCCACACCAGGTGAGCAGCACGCACTTGGCTTCTCTGTGTTGTGATGTTCGTGTGTGCGTGTGTATATAGCGGTAGGCGTGTGTGTGCGCGTGTGTATATATCGTGGGGAGGGGTAGCGCAACGGTTAGTGCGCTACGCTACAAACCCGGCAACCCGATTTCGATGTGTAAACATCGCCACTGGGGAGACAAAGGAGGCCGGACGTGGTGTTGGCTACCCACTCCCTCGTGTGCCGTGCCGGCTTTCATAGGTGCTCGCCAACAGCACTTGCCTCAACAGTCTGTTAAAGGCGGGGAGGGGCGTTGGGGGGTGGCGACCGTGCCGTGAGGAGAGCTGGGAAGGGCTGCAGCAGCCACATCAGTGACCACACGAAGAGCTCCGTCTGCATTCTATGCAAAGTGGCAGTCACCTTTTGTCTGAAGTTCGCCGCCTGCCCTGAACATCGAGTCCCGCTGCCCGCACGCCGCTCGGCCTTGCTGACTTTGATAGGTGCTCGCCAACGGCAATACCTCCCGACGCTCTGTAAGTCGACATAGTAGGCTTGTAATGAGTCGGCTAATTACGTGCTAATGTTGCTTTAGAGCAATTGGATGGGTGAGAGAGCACAAACGAGAGATAAAACAATGACATTGCAAACAAGACAAATACAAAAATGATTCGTGAATGTGATCATGACGATTCTGTGAATTGGCAGAAAGAGTGGAGTCGTTTCATGCCTATGTAATGTGTCTTTGCGTGTGTGTGTTGCATGTATGCATACAGGGGATCTTTGTGTTTGCATGGAGTGTAAACCTTTACAGTTCATATCCATGCGTGTTTATATATCAAACACGTGAGTCTTGTAATACGAACGGTTACGTAGCCTAGAGGTCTGAGTGCTTTCCACTGAAATAATTTTACACCGGGTAGACGATTCGATTCTTACTGCAGCCACCCGGCATTGTGCTCGTTAAAGACCGCGTGACGTTATTCACAAGAGTAGGTCATCGCATGCCATTGTCGTAGCGGGAATCATAAATGTAAACATGAAACCAGATAAACAGCAATCATGGCTTGCAAGTTAATGGAACACACGGTGGGCCATCACCTGCTTAAAGGGAAATTGATTTATGGGCTCTCAGGTGAGCAGGCTCTTTGTAATGAATGGGCACCTTTCTTTATTGATGCGGTGTGATGGCATGTGCTCATGTCTGGTCTGACCACACTGCATTAGTCACGCCGGCTGGGTTGTTGGAGCTTGGCCAATTCATAGCCTCAGGGAGTCAATTCTGTCTGAGTTATTATAGCGACGTGTGTGTGTGTGGGCAGTGGCGTAGTAGAGAGCGTGGGAGCCGTAGTTAAGTGGTTAGCTCACTAGCCAAACCAGATTATCTGAACCGGTCCTGGGCCTCCCCTAGGTCGACTCGGCCTCAAATGAGTACCTGGTATGGTGTGTAAACATTACCACGAGCGAATCAAAGGCGGCCGGGCGTGGTTCTGGCCACCCACCCCCTCATGTGCCGTGCCGGCCTTAATAGGTGCTCGCTAACAGCACTTGCCCCAAAAGCCTGCTAAAGGCTCCGCGGGGGATCTACGTAGTGGAAAGCGCACTGCGCCATGAACCCGGTGACCGGATTTCCACGTGGCGCACATCGACCCATTGCCCGCGTTCGACTCGACGGAGGGGAATCCAGCGTGGTGGCGCTGCGAAGGGCATCGGCATGCCCTGGCCACTCGTGAACTCTGCGTTTCCAGTGGGCACTCTGGTTGGCACAGACGGCAAAAAACGTGTTCCCCCCCTGCCCCACCTAGACCTGGCTTCCAGTGACTTGTTCCTGAAATTGAAGAATCACTTGCAGGGAAGCAGTGGTGACTCTAGGAAACATGAAATAATCATAAACATTAAATAGGGGCCATTATGGGAAACAAATCCTGGTTGTCAAGTCAACACTGGTGCTCCTATGGTTAGACATCATACTGCCATAATAGGAATGTGGAATTCTTTTGGCTCAGGGCTGTAACAGGAGATGAGCACCAATGCCTCGATGCTCGTTTGAGCCGCAGGAGATCGCTCATCGCTCGCGTTTCCCTCCCCGTTCCCTGCAGCACGGACGAGTGGAAGGACCCTGGGCTGGACCGCGACACTGCCCCCTCGCCGGCGTCCACGCCACGCACGTCCGGGTCGAGTTCTCACCTCAGGTGCCCTCCGCCGCCCGCTTGCCAACGCCCAGGGGCAACCCGGGCTACCGCGAGCCCGTAGCACAGCAACTCCGCTCAAGTGACCCGGCGTTGCACGCAGTGCAGGCAACGCTGTCCCCACCCAGCTCTGCCACAGGAGGGAGAGAATTGCTCATGGCACGACAGTCGGGACGTTAATTGTCATTCCCAGGGCTGGTGTTGAGCCCAATTTTAATTAAAAAATTTAGTTTCTTCAGATGTGGCGTTTTGTGTAGTGATTGGCAAGCGAGTTTCCACTCGCCCAGTAGTGTTCGCTGTGGGCAGGAATTGGACCGGGGTCGCCGGCTTCGTAGCTCTGTGCGCGAACCTCTGCGCCACTTCAGATTCTGTGCTTTGTATGAACGTTATCAACAGATTTGTCTGGTATTTTGTTGTCTCTTCGATAACAGTGGATACAAGAACCACCAGAGCTCCGTCTACAACAGTAACACGACGTAACATAAAGCGAGTCACCGTGTGTAAAATGCACACGGTGACTCGGTAGGTTTTATAAAAGTGTTCAAAGCCCGTGGAAAAGGTCTCATTCTGTCCTTTCATGATTGCCCCCTATTATTGATCGCCAACATTGCCCCACGGTATTGATCGCCAACCCCGTTTTCCCGCAGCTCGGTGGAGTCGAGCCCGGTGCGCTCGCGCTCCTTCTCGCACCAGCTCCTCTCTCGGCCGCTCGCCGTCGTCGGCCGGACTGGCAGTTCCGACCCCGCCGCGACCCCCGAATGGCCGGCCCCTCGCGAACGAGCGTGGGCCGGCAGGCGCCAAGGAACCGCAGCCCCCGCTCCTCGCCACCAGCAGCAGCAGCAGCCCCACCAACACCGCCATCCTCTGTCACCGCAGCTGCGGCCACACCCGGACATCGTCGTCAGCGGCAGCGCGGGCCCCCTGGGCCGCGGCGGCGGCGGCGGCGTGGCGAGTTCGCCCGCGACGGACGGCCGCTGCTCGTTGGCCAGCCGCTCCGGCTCGGACGCCGGCTGGGCCGAGTGGCCCGACGGCTGCACGCAGACGCTGGGACGCTACCCGCGCGGGCGCGACCACCGTCAGTCATCCGCCACCACCGCCACCTCCGCCGCGAACGCCGCCTCCGACTCGTACGGCCACGGCGCGGGCCCGCGGGGCTCGCACACGCCGGGGCCCCGCTCTCGCCGCGCCGCGCCCGCTCCGTCGCCCCCTGGGCTCGGCGGGGAGCGGCAGCAGGGCAGCCTGCGCAGGAGCGCCACGGCGCCCGCGCCCGGGGGAGTCTCCGGGCTCCGGACGCCCGTGCCGGCCGACGACGACGACGACGTCGGCGTGGAAGGGGGAGGCGCGCGGGAGCGCGAGATCGCCAAGGAGAGGCTGAAGATGTGGTATGACGAGAGGCGGCCGATCGCGCGCAACCAGTTCTACCAGAGCCTGCGCGCCGAGCCGACGCACGGGAGGCGAGTGAGCGCCGGTTCCACGTGCTTCTACGTCAGCCAGAAGCTGCAGCTGAGCCGGGAGACCGTGGACCGATGCAACGGTTCGTTCACGCGGTTTCTGCGACCCGGGCTGGCCTCGACACGTCCGTCACTGTTGCTCATAACAGCAGGAAGTCTGTTGGCATAAAAACATCATGCAGCACTCTGTATGATGTTTTGAGACGTGCCCCCTTTTAAGGAGGTGTTGGGGCTTTATTTGTGCCTTTGAGCACAGTGCTGCCTTAGTTTTGTGCAACCCATCCATGTTAGTTTATTGGGCCACAATCTGAAAGAGTTGAACTTGGCCCAGGTTTTCTGTGTTTAAGCCATTGTCACTGGTCTGGAATGCCCATTTGTCAATGGACTTTAATGTTATTTTAATATTGGTTATTAAAGAGACCGCTTGTCTGATGTTCTTCATTACCCACTCTTGTCCCATGGCCAATTTCAATTACTCATGAGGCCAGCAGATGGCAGCATCGCGAGTACAAAGACAACCTGCGTCCAGACACTCGAGTGATCGCCCCTTGCCTGTGTGGGGTTTCTCCAGGAAATCCCACATTCAAAAATGGCTTGAAAAATGAATTGACCAAACCCTCCCAAATTAGGATCTTCCTGATTAAGAGCGTGCAAAACTCGGCTTTCCTGAACAAAAATCTCAAAGTATTGCTAACACCCTTGCCTGTACAAGGTAACATTTCTCGTGTAAATGCACTATTAGCATGACACCTGTTTACCCAGGTAAGCTTCACCGTGTCTCCGGTTCTGCCAAATTTGGGAGCGGGTGACGATTTCTGTGAATAATCCAGTGTTACACGTTGGAAAAGACGGCGACATGAGCCAGCATCTCTCCCGGCGGGGGGCGGGGGGGGGCTGTGTTGCCATACTCTGTGGAGTGTCGCGAGTTGGTCTCGGCCCAGAGCGCCCATCACAAACGCGCTCTGCCGTGTATACAGTCAACCTGTTTGGACATCATGCCAAACAGCTCCCGTGGTACAACCCGAAAACGCGTCCGAGAGGGCCACGGCATAACCGTGAAAACCTATGCACCAGCTGCCTTGGGGTCATATAGTACCATAGCAGCTGCTGTGCAGCGCCATGATCTAACAGATAGCCACCGAGAACCGTGAGCCAGTCCCCCTGCCGGTGCGCGGGCTTCAAGGAGGCTGTGCTGTGTGTGTGCCGCAGGCCTGGATGTTGGCAGGAGAAGGGAGCCCATGGTTTACTCCCCGGGCACCGGGGACTCGGTGCTGCACGCTGCCGACCGGAGGCAGGAGGCCACGTCCGCGACGGTCACGGCGCACGTCCGGTACGGGGGCAGGGGGCTAGTCGCGTGCGTGTGTGTCGTCTCGCCGCCGTCGCTGGTGCCGCGCAACAGAGACCTGAGATCTCCTCGGACACATCGGTGTTTAACATTAAACAACATATTAAAAAAAACTAAGACACCCCACATAGAATTTCACAGACTGTTAGGGCAAGTGCTTTTCGTGACCACCTATGAACGCCGGCACGGCACACGAGGGGGAGGGTGGCCAGCACCAAGCCCGGCCAGCACCACCTTTGTCTCCCTAGTGGCGATATATACACGTGGCACCTTGCACTAATTTCAGGCTGAGTCGATCTAGGGGAGGAGGCCCAGGACCGGTTGAGATAATCGTCACCGGTGTTGGCCGCGAGCGGGAATCGACCTCGGGTTGCCGGATTTGTAGCGTAGTGTGCTAACCACTACACTAACGCACCCCACAAAAACATACACACACAGGCACGCTTATGTTAGGAACCTACTTGCTGTACCGCTATCTTCTGACCGCCTTGCATCCTCTTGGTTTGGATAATTTACAGTACTTGGTGATGTTGACGATCCGCCGACCCCGACAAGGCCTGCTCTCTGCCTGCCTCGAGTGCCGCTGCTGTTCTCCTGTTCACCTCCAATCTCCTCTGTCTGACCTCGACCTCCCTTTCCCCTCTCTCCTCCTTGTCTTTCCCCCCTGTCCTCGCAGAGTGATGTACGTCGTTTCAACTCTCGTTACTGCTTCTCCCTCCCTGCCAAATGCCAACCTGACTTAGTGCCCCCCGCAGGTAACCAGCAGATAAAAGATGAACGCCACTCGGGGGTCGTGCCGCCGCGGCTCCCGCGACGCGCTATCGGGTCATACCGCGCGTTGCTCGGCACGACGTTTCGCTCCACGTGCCGTACAACGCCGTAAACGAGTTCTTAAAAACGCTTAGCGGAAGACGTGCGGCTATATCGCCGCATCGTGACGCATCGGTGCGGCGGTTGAAGCCCGTCAAATCCTCGCACCCTGCCACAGGATGGAGTCCCACCACTACGGCGTCGACACAGCCTTGTGGTGCAGCGGCTCCCACTCAGCGCCGAGGGTCACGATGTCGCCGGGTCGCCGGCCGCCTTCTTGTTGACCACTGCGGCCGTAACCACCGCGGGCAGCGTGGCTGTGGATCAGTGTAGAGGCTGTACGGGGGCTGCTCGCTGCGCGCGACGTGAATGGAGTTGTGAAGCGAGGTTGGAGGGGAGCGTGGCGAGGGTATCCACACGTCGAGGACGCTGCCAGCCTGGCGCCGCAGTGACGCGGCACCGCCCACAGCGGTTATGCCCCAGTAGCGTCACGTGGGGGCGCTATTGCAGTGCATCGAAAAATAACATTGTCACAAGAGGAAATATTTACCACTTTGTGAAACGCAAATCGTCGTTTTCCTATGAAGAGACTGGTTCCTGCCAGACAAATGTAGAATTTCCACCACTGAATTGGTATTATCCAATGTTTCTATGGAAAATCTTAACAAATTGAGACAATGTTAACGATACATTAGAACCGTACTAATCAACTGTTTGTGTGTTTCCAGGTCCTACCCTGAGCGGTCGTCGTACCAAAGATCCTCCGACTTGAGGCCGGAGCCGGGCTACGCGAAGCACATCGACATGGATTCCGGAACGCTCGTTTGACCCCACGTGACCCCCGGACTCCCCGAGGGGGGGTGGAGGGAGGAGCGAGTGCCGTTGGTGCTCTTTCGAACTCGGCGGTGTTCCTGTCCACGGCCGCCGCACGAACGGTTCGTCACCTCCAAGCTGCCGTGAGCTTTTGGCTCGAGAGGAAACGTTCAAAAGGACTACGAGAGGGAGGGAGGGAGGGGGGTGGCCGTTGGGGTGGTGGTTCCAGGAGGGCCCACGACGGCCGTGTCGGAGACACCAAAACCCGGGGTTCGACTCCACAGGCTCGGCAGACTCTCACAAAACCAGCAAAAAACATAATTGGAAAGAGAAAACCAAAGAAAAAGTTTGTGCTGAGTTGAGACAAAGTGGTCGCCCCTTGAAGTATCCGTCACAGACGTGGAGCGAGCAACTCGCTTGGCGACTGAACTGAAGGAGGTGCAAGTCCGGTGGATGTCGGCAAGATGGAGCCTTGAAGGATCTCAAAAGTTTGCAATGGCACAGCTGCGTGTCTCTCTCTCTGTCTCCCTGACGTCGAGACGAGGAGCTGATTTGAGCTTTGCTCTGCGGCTAAATGCTGAGAACCAGAATGGGGGGAAAGAAATTGCAGAAAAACTGGAGAGTGTCATTGACATGGAAACATTTGTCATGTTATGTTTGTGACCACACTGAGCTCATCACGAAGCCATACCCAGCAGCCACCTGCCTGCCTTATTTAAGATTATTTTTTACTCTTTTTACTTTTACAAATCGAGGCCCCTTCACGATCCCTTGCGTTTAATCTTGAGAAGAAGTCTTAGTTATGAAAAGCACAAGCGGTTTCCAAACTTAACTGAAATTTGAAAACGCACACATCGATCATCGCCACATTTTAATCACTTGCTCTTTAATTTCCCTCCCGTTATTTTATTTCCTGTAAATATTTACGTTAGAAGTCAGTCTGCTCGAGTGAGCATGGTGGCGGCGTTCCTTGTCGGTGGCCCTCGGTCCCAGTGGTGGAAATTCCACATCCCTATGGCAGGGGGCCAGTGTGTCCATCGAACAAGCACTGTTGGCGTCCCGTGAAGTGGTACTTGTTTCAATGACCGCGGAAAGATGATGGGCCGAGCCAACCCCAGGTACGGGATTATAACTTGTAACATTCCATTTCTGAGTCAAGAACTCTTAACCACCCCACCGACCAGCTGGAATTCATCAATACGCTCTCATTTTGTTCAATGCAGTGCGAATGGTGCAAGGGTTAGGGTTTGGCTACGTAACTGTTACATACAAGCCCACCTGTAGATTAAACTCGCAACAGGGCTTTGGGATTCCTTGCAGTGGTCCAGTACTCGACAGCGACATTAAATCGGTATCTTCAGGGAGTCTTGTGTGTTGGTGTGTATCCTGTTTGAGCACAGGCACCAAGAACGCAACACCTCAAGCTGCTATACAGCAGCAGCAGTAGTAGCAGCAGCAGTAGCAACGCAGACAAACAATGGGCGAGCGAAATGAGGGGCTTAAAGTTTTCTTCAAAAATGGAAAAAAAACATTAACTCTGTCAGCAAGGGCGAGGAAGATGAATTGCACGATCAGGGAGAGACACCTGGAGCGGCATGCGAGTCGGTCACAAGCAGAAGAGGAAAGGTCACGGGCAAGGTCCGGAACAGGGGAAGTGAGCGATGCGAAGGGGGGGGGGGGGTGTCTAAGACTCCGGCCACTGGGCAGAGGCGATGTTAGCGATCGATTGTCACGTGGGTTAAAGCATTTGAAAAAAAGAAACGTAGCAGCGAACGTAATAACAAACACGCATACATCTAATACGCATTCTGTTAAAGGTTAATTCAAACTGTTTAAATAGGTTTCGATGTCATTGGCAGTAATACTTTGTGGAAACTAGCATACATTGAAAATATTAAATAAAACCTCAAATTAAATGCCTTGTGTTGCCACCAAACATGTTTTTCAGGCCTTATTTTAAATTAGCATTGCACGCAAAAATAATTACCATTTTACAATGTGGCATTTACACCGTTGCATTTAAATCGACATTCTCCCCGATGAGAAACTGCATTTGGGCTTAGTTGCCAGGTTACGTGTCGTTCTGCACTTGCGTTTCAGTTGCACTGGGCTTTCTCGTCGGTCACAGATTCGACGTACAGCTGAATCGGCTGACCTGAAGGCAGCTGCCGTCACGTTGAAGGTGCGACCAAAGGGTCCGCTAGCAGTGCACGGTTTGTTCCTCAAGTAAATAAATAATGACCGAGGTGTCCGAGGGGGCTCGAGGAGAGGCCGCTCCTAAATGAGAGCACCGAGCCTGGCACCACCACCACCACTACCGAAATGCTGGGTTGTTGGAGCGCGGCTTTCGGCTCTCCACCGTCACCACCGGCTCCCTGGAGCGGAGCGGTGGCGAGTTTGTGGCCTCCGCATGGCGGTCCCAACGGTGGTGACAAGTAAACTAACATGTTTACATTCTCGTCAATCCAACATGTTTACATTCTATTCTTCACGAAAAGGTTTAAGCAGTTGCATAAGTGTTGGTTGGGGGAAGGTGGATAAGGAAATGTAGTTTGCAGAGGACAAAGCAGGGATTATTGCAAATCCGATGGTAAAGGTTTGTAAATGTGTGGGTGTGTGGTGGAGAGGAGGCAATGTGAATAGCAAGGAGGTGCATTTGATAGGCGAAGCAAAGTTCTATTTCGTACACCTTTACATATTCATCCAAATTCCCTCTGATAGTGTCATTATCTTTGTCAAAGGATACCTGATTGATTGGAGACGACACCAGATTCATCACCGAGGTCTGATTTCTAGGTTTTTTGTTTGTTACTGAGCGATGGACGCTGGGCCGAGTCATCCCCTTGCCACTTGTTGAATTCGGCGCTTTTCTATTGTCCCAGGAACCCCCCCGGCATTGACATGTGGACTTTCCACTCCGGGCCTGGGAGGGGCAATGACGACGGGCACTGCGCCATGATTTGTTCAGGGAATTCTCTGGTTTTGCGCTACATTGGCAATTGGCGATAGGTGGGTTCGTACAGCGAACTATTTGACTGCATGCAGTGTCGATGAGATTGGTGCAGGTCTGGACTCAGAGCGCAGAAAGCATCAGAAGGTCAGATAGAAAGGGGAGGTTTGCAACAGGGCTGTACAAGCAACGGAGAGGGGGGCAACCTCCCATCGTGCTGTCAGAATTGAGTGATGGTAGAGAGAGAGAGGGGGGCAGTGTTTGTTGGGTAGAAGGCATGTCTTGGAACTTGATGTTTTTACGTTTGAGGAGTAGATAACATTTCTTTAATGTTTCCCTGTGGCTGTTTTGCGGAAGTAATGTTTCAGTAACCCACAGAACGTGACATGACCATAGAAGGCTTGGTCATGGTCCAGTGGGCTGTAATGTTTTGTAATAAATTTTACATTTGCAGTGTAATCCGTTTTACACCGTATTGCAAATATATATGACAAGGGCATTCCAGGATTGAATAATCCCATGAATACACTTTGCTGCAAAATGCAACAGTCGTGGATTCGGTGTGGAGTAAAATAATAATAATACGTAGGCGGATGGATCGATGTCCGTGCTGCGTTTCCTTGGCTGTGGGTGGCTGTGGAGGCGCGCGGTCGCAGTGCTCGCCGCTGAGTCGGTGTCTCGTCAACGAGTCAGTCCCTGGGACAGCCGTCCTGTCGCTCCGGGAACCAAATGAGACGCATGTTGGATTACATCGAGTCCCTTTTGGCATCATTGTTCACGAAAGGAGGCCATTGTGTGCTGGCTGGTTTAGACTTCATACTTTTGAGGCATTTATAGAATTGACGCTTTGGCCTGTTGGTGGCATGATGAGATTCCACTTGTGTCGAGCTGTGGAGACGCTCATTGTTCAACCTATGGATGTATTCGGGGCTGGATGTAAAAAAAAAACCCATGGTGATCTCGGAAGGACGGCATTACTTGGGTTTCATTATCGGTGTTGGGGTAGTTTGAGATTACTTGCAAGTAAGGGAACTAAATACACGGGTGACCAATAGTGTCCCAGTTTTACACAACTGTAAAAACCCGCTTTGGTGATACCCTCGTGTACTGTGTTTGCTACGGGGGGACTCGCCTGTCTCTTAGGGGGGCGGGGGGGTGCAGTCTTGACAAATCTGTCAGTCTTCCTGGAAGATTAGTCTCGTTGTGTTGTCAGTTGGCGCAATACGCGACTCAAAACATTTGCGTGCGGTTCTCTCCCCCGCTTCTGATGTCGTCAGAAATTCTGAGTCCCATGAGGTCCCACCCGGCGTTTGTACCTCCGAGGTTGCCGCAGCTGATCCGCGGCGTTCGTAGTCGCACAGGAATGTGTCGGTTCTCATCGTCGGGGACGGCTCCCGGAGTCCTCCGGTGTTGTGTGGGTGCTCAAGTTTGAAATCGCAGCCTCCTCAAGCTCCGCTCGCTCACGGAACCCTGTCCATAACAGTGGTGTGTGTTTTGGGTTCGATCGCGTACGCACAAAGAGACCTATTATGGATATTGCTCGTGTCCCGTAGCGTGCTTGCACAGCTGCTTACCGACGAGGAATTGTGAAAGGCTTTCCGCTTTCACTGTCACGCCATTAGTTTGCGTTCATTACATAATTTAATTATTTCACGAGGAAGTGAAAATAAATAGGATTTTTTTTTTTGCCAAACTGGAAGTAGACACTACCTCAAATGTCAAATGCTTGTTGTCTGGCGTCCGTCATGAAACATTTTTGATGAAAATGTGTGAGAAAATGTTGACAGGTGGTTACCAGATGGGCGACCCGATTAGTTCATCCTAAAAAGTAACGGCGCTGAAGGGGCTTGGTGCGTCCATTGCCAGCCCGCGGCGCGTGAAGCCACTGCATGGCACACACGCCCTTGTGGACTGCAAATGCAACAGTGAGCAGCCTATTAACCGATTATCTTATAAATGGAACACGAAATCCATTTTTGTGATGTATTGGTAAAAAAAAAGCGTTGGGATGCAAAAATAACCACATCGGCGAGGAGTGGGCGAACTCACAGTTTTTTTTAAAAGTGACATCATTCCTCGCGGTGGCCGTGATCGTAAAGCCGCTGCGAGGCGTTCCCGGTGTGCCTGGCCCCGGTTTGTTGGAGAGCTGTGTGGGGGGGGACTGGCAGTCTGCAACCAAAGTCAACAGTGTGTGCCCATGGAAGACTTTGTAACAGTGCTGTGATGCGAT